CGTCTGTCCCAGCCCTGTCCCTCCACCAGCCCTGCAGGAAGAAGCGGGAGCATGCACAGAAAACAGCGCCCTGGGGGACCAGCCATGTGGCCTGCAGAGGGCCCAGAGGCGGAGCTGGTGGGGAGGGGTCCAAAAACCGGGCGGCAATGCTGACAGCTTACAGACCACGACTGCAAAGACGAGGTACCAGGGAGAGTGGCCATGGCGGCTGTTCTTCCTGCTTCCTCCACATTGCAGCTGGGACCGTGTGACCTTCCACAGTGTGAGGATTCGATGTCTGCATTCACTGCCTCTCCTCCCAGTCACGTGACTCAGGCCTCACTAGCCACCTGATGCACCGAGGCAGTTCGGGTCCTAGCCACTTCAGCATGCACGATCATGCTTAACCACAATTCTGAAATTGGAGTCGATAGTCAAGAGTGAAGGAGGGACCAGCAGTGAGCGTAATGGCTATGTTGCTGGACTCCCATGTAGTCAACCGTGGTTCAAGTCCCGGACCCAGCGGCTTAAACTCACGCCGGGCGCGTGTGCGTGCGTGCCCAAGATCCCAAGAGGAGAATGGAGGAGAAGGGATTGTGGCGTGGCCATCCCCCTGGGGGGTGATTTCTCGCTTTCTGTCTCTCTGTCTCTCTCTGTCTGGCAAGCACACACGCCCTATAGCAAAAACCTCTCCGGAGGAAAAATAAAAAGAGTGAAGGGACCAGCAGGTGGCATAGTGGTGAAGGCACTGGACTCCCACATGGCCAGTCGTGGTTCAAGTCCCAGACTCGGCAGCTTGAAACTCACACCAGGCACATGTGTGTACACACCCAAAATCCCAAGAGGAGAAGGAATTGCAGCATGGTTTCTCTCTCTCTCTCTCTCTCTCTCTCTCTCTGGCAAGCACACTATAGTGAAAACCTCTCTTAAAAATAGTCAGGGAAAGGCCTGCAGGAGGTACAGTGGTGCCGCAGCTGGGCACATGTGGGTGGGTCTGGGGCTGCCCGGAGCGTTCTGGGCCCTCATCTACCTATGACCTGGGCTGGCTGAGGCTGGGGCAGATCGTGGCATGAGGCCCTGTTGGGAGTGCCTGTGTGTGTCTCTCTCATGGAAGACATAAATAAATAAACTTTTATATATATATATATATATATATATTTCAAATTGGGCCAGCAGGCAGCTGGATCCTACATGGCCAACCTTGAGGTTTGAGTCCGGGACCTGGTTACTTGACAATCACGCCAGGCACGTGTGCGTGCGTGACCAGACTCCCGAGAGAACGGAGGAGAAGGGATTGCGGCGTGGCCCTCCCGACTGGGGGATCATTCCTCACCTTTCCTCTCTCTGTCTCTGTTTTTCTCTGGCGAATGCACGCGCCCTATAGCAAACCAAAATAAATACAAAAATAAAAAGAAACATCTGCAATAAATCTAGCAAGGAAAAACAAGGTAGCTTTTAGAAAACTGGCAAAGCAGAGGGTGAGAAAAACAAAAAGAGGACCATGAAAAGAATGGTATTTATTATAAAAAGATGAACAGAAGGGGTTAAGTGTGCAGCTTTCAGGGAGCAGCTGGCAGGCAGGAAGAAAGAAACCTGGCTTACAAATAATTTGAATGAAAATTATTTAGAAAGAAATTGGAAAGAATATAGAGTTGGAACAATAATGGGCCATTTTAGACAAAAACTGGCTCTTGGACTGGATCGCCGCTCATGTGCATTACGTCGAAAGCTGTTTGGTCATTTAAAGGGCAGCCGGGGGAGGTCTGCAGCAAACCACAGAAGAGGCAATAGCGCAGGGAAAGACGCAGGAAGAAAATTCTCCCAGCCTGAAAGAAATAGTCAGGTTCGTATGCCGAAATGCCCCGAAACGAGTGCTTTTCGAAAATGAAACCACTGACTTAAGTGAGCTGAGAAACTGGGCATAATGGAGTGTCTGAGAATAAGGAGAGGATGGCTGAAAGGAAGAGAAAGAAAAAAATCAAATGGAGTTTGGAGAGACAAGAAAGGCAATCCGCGGGGTGGAACTAGGAGACGCTTTTGTCTGGGGGTGAAGCAGCGTATTGAGGCCTGAGCAAGCTCATTCCTGGTCCACATCGCTCGCCGTTCGGCCTGAACCGTGAACTAGAATTGCTGCCTTTTTATTTATTCCTTCAAACACAAGAACCGAAGTATCGCGAGGCCTTTTCTACCTGCCCGAGGCCCCAGGTAATGAAAAGAAGAAGATGAATCATATGTAAGAATATAGCTTTGATGAAAAAGCCCGAATCACACAATAGCATGACCAGCTTAACAAGACCCGCGATGTTTGTCTGACGGAGAGGTGACTATTCTGGGCTTCGCATGGCGGACACGTATCACGGCGCGCTCACAGGGGTTTGCGACACACGGCTACTCCGCGCGTCCGGAAGCTCAGCTCTTGGGGCCGTCTGACGGTTGCATTTGTTCTTGGTGTAGCAGTTTGTTTCGTAAGGCACAAGCCAGCTCAAGCTTAAGTAGCAATGAGCGTGTGCCAGGTCCTGACCGAAGCCCTTTATAAACGGTAACTCCTGCTAGCAGCCCCGTGAGGTGGCTGCAGTTATAATTCCATTTTGCAGAGGAGGAAGCTGAGATCCAGCAAGGTTAAATAACCTCTCATATGACCAGGGAGGAGCAGAGACCGGCTTCTGCGTCCCAACCCCTTGACCCCACCTCTGTATTCGGCAGTTGTTCCAGTCGCTCCCACCTGCTTCAAGTGGTCTTGTAACACACGAGGAGAACACAACACAGCAGTTGCAATGTCTGCTATTGTCCATTCCCTGTTCCATCCTCTGTTCCCTCCAGTTCCTCCAGTCCTTTTTCCAATACTTTTCTGATATGTCTTGCATCTAGGGACAGTATACAATATTATTTTTCATGTTTCAAATATTTGCATAAGTAGTCATATGAGGGGATCTTAAAAATTTCATGGGAAATAGGCATTGTGAGAAAAAAAAGCTATGCAAGGGTTTCAAAAATTTTTTGCACCAAAATAAGCCTAGAGTTGGGGGGGGGAACAGCAGGTGGCATGGTGGTTAAGGTAGTGGACTCCTACATGGCCGACAATGGTTCAAGTCCTGGACCTGGCGGCTTGATTTATTACTTTCTCTTGATCTCTCTCTGGTCAAATTAAATAATAATAATAATTCTTTTAAAAAATCTATAGTTGAATGCCCCTTTCCATGAACTTCTTGAAGTCCCTTGCACGCTCTGTACCCTCTGTGCAACTCGCTCTCCAGGCCATGCCCAGCACTGCGAGGGCTCTCTGTGCAGACGTGTGCTGGTCCCCACACCAGCCCCTTCTGCAGCCACCAGCCACATTTGGCTACTTAGCACTTGAAACATGGCTAGTCCGAAGTAGCCGTGTGCTGGATTCCATAGGCAGCAATAGACAGAGTACAGTACATGGCTAATCACTTTAATATTGGTTACGTGTTGAGATGATAATGTTTTGGATGTGCTGGGTTTAGCACAAATGTGACTTAAATGTCCTCGTTGCTTTAGCGTGGTTACTAGAAGACAAAACGCCACATGCTCACCTGGTTGGCTCCCATTGGATCTCTGCTGGAGAGCGCTGAAGTGGGTCAGCCCACTTAGCTGCTCTCAGGCTGCGCTTTGCTCATTGGCAGAAGAGGAAGACCTAAATCCGAGTCATAAGAATGGTTACTGCATGGGGCCAGCAGGTGACATGGTGGCTAAGGGCACTGGACTCCCACATGGCCGACTGTGGTTCAAGTCCTGGACCTGGCAGCTTGCTTCCTTATTTTCTGTCTCTTCCTCTCTGATCAAATTAAATAAATAAATAAATAAAGATAAATAAAATAATTTAAAAAGTGAATGGTTACTGCACACATACTTATTCCGAGGGCTTTACATGTAACCCCCCATTCAGACCGCCCCAGCACTTGCACGGTCGCACCAACGGAGGTGCGAAACTGTCCAGTCGCGCAACCTCAAAGGAGCCGAGCTGAGCCTGAAGTTAACCACCAACTTAACTAGACAAGGCCCTGCCAGAGAGACCGCGCCAGCTGCCGGGGAAAGCAACGACAATATGGCTAACCTCGGTGAAGTCCCTAGCGATACATGCTCCTCGCCACTCACAGGAGCATCTGCCATATCGCCCTTAAACAGAGCTTGAACAGGCAGATGTGGTGCGACAAGGCAGCCTTCACGAAGCCAGCCCGGGAGTGTCTGTCTGACATCCGCTTCCAAGGTCACGAAGGCAGCTTCCTCTTTGCCACTAATTACAGGAACTATTTTTAGGACAAATTAACAACACTCCATACTCGCTCGCTTCCTACGCTGTGATTTGTTCTCTTTAGGTGCCTCTATTTATACCTGTAGTGCTTTTTTTTTTCTTTTTTAACAGGCATCCTAATTATCCTGCCAATGATGGAACTGGGCTTGTAACTAAATTATAAAACATCCTGGGAGGGAAAACATGAGGTGTGACTACCACCGGGTATTATTGGAGCTCACTGGATTGCTTTCTGAGTTCTGAAAAAAGCCCAGTTGAACATTTGGAATCATAAAGTTACAGAGCTGGAAGGGACCCGAGGTCTCCTAAGTGTCCTGTGACTAAGAGCAGAGTCATGGCAACTTAACCCCTGTAAGCCTTGGTGTCCTCATCTGGGAAGTGGGGACAGTAACGTCTCCCTTTTAGGGCTCGATTGCAGATTTAATGAGGTAGTGACTGTAAGTCTGCTCCTTGAATCCCTCGCTCCGTGGTGCTCAGAAAAATCTGACGACCCAATATCACCAATGCTACTATGATAGTAATACCATCGTACCCCCCAGCAGACTCCAAAGGGGGCAATGTCTCCAAGCACAGCTGGCCCGACTCCAGCAGGTCTTCTTTCCTCCATTCTCTGCGAGGTCTCGAATGCTTCCCTTAGGCAGAGAGGCTCATGGTTGGAAAGAAAGAACTCTGCAGCTCTCTCCCTCCCCGTGCTGGCCCTCCGGGGTGCTCTGGGCAGCTCCTGCTGAGCGGGGCTCTACCAGGGCCCATGGCTGAAGAGCTTCGGAGCACACTCTCCACATCCATGTCCTTCCCCAGGGATCTGCCTCCCAAGGCGCCTGGAAACATCAGCGCTGCTGCCTTCCCGGGTCCAGCCAGCTGGCCTCAGTGCCCCTCCGTATCTTGCTAGCTGAGCATGGACTTCCTTGCCTTTCCTCACTCCACCACGGCAGGCTGAGGAAGGACAGGGTCTGCTAGGTGACAGCTCTCCTAATTCACGTCTCCTTCCACTCACTAGCTAGGCTGAGGACAGTTGTCCCCACGGCCAGGAATGCATGACACAGCCCCCACGTGGCATTTATTTTGAGAACCATAACCACAAACCCATCAGAAGCTCCCCTCTTAGCATAGGAACCTAAGGTGTCCCTCACACAGCCCAGAGCTTCCGGGTCTGCCCTGTAGGTGAAGTTAGAAGTTCGAGGGTCCTGGCACAGCTCAGAGTCATGGCAGAGCCCAGGAACTCACAAACTAGGCCTCAAGATTCCAGAGGTGAGCAAACTGGGGCTGAAGGAACTGTCCCAAAGGTGCGGACAGTACCCGATGTTGACCCTCTTCTAGGACGTTTGCTCCTGGCACGAAGCCTCCCTGTTTGTATGGAGACAAGGCAGCCTCCCTCATCCACACACACGCACGTTTAGCCCTGCAGTGCCACCCAGCCCGGCGCACCCTACAAGCTGCAGGGTCACTAGCCCATCCCTCTACAGCCCTGCAGAACTCGGAGGGTCGCAGTTTCTCTGCTCTGCGAGCTCCGGCTTAGTGTCTCGCACTGTGGGTTCGTCAGGTTCGCTGCTCTTCCTGCAGCCCCGCGCAGTCTAGGAGCTGAGGGTCCTGGCCTCTGGATTCTCTGCACCCACGGAGGTGGCTATGGGTGCTTTGGGCAGCCCTGGCGGGCTAGGCCAGGCTGTGCCACTGAGATGGAGGTTCTGGCATGGGCTGCTTTTGGACCCTTCGCCATGGGAGGAGGAATAAGAGTGCTATTTCTGAACTAGCAAAATAGTCCACAATTTTTGGACTGCCATTTCTTTTCTTTTCCTTTTTTTTTTTTTT